AAAGAAATGTTCGTGTAGGACTTGTCTCGGGACGCTGCCGCTGTCCGGCTGGCTGGACAGGCCGGATTGGGTTTCGAGTACAGGTGGGTACTTGCGTGGCTTTAAGACTTAAACATTATTTTTGTACAAATTATTTTTGGATAAAAGCAACTTTAAAAGAAGGGTCACTACCTTTTTTTAATAGGCACCATTTGGGATTGTGTTTCCTGACCAGAGCACTATACATCCCATTAGGAGGCCTGCGTTTTACATCAGATAAGAACTCCGAAAATGCTCAAAGCTTTTCTTAATCTTCCTCATCGAAATTCCACCACTTTAGTGCATCATTTGGTTAATTCGTCGGTGTCCTTCAGGAACGTAAAAACCGTTATATCTTGGGAGGCGATTGATACTTGTGTTGTGGGCAAATTCGTCTTAAGGAGACAATGATTCAGTGGGCTCGGTTTGATCCAAGTATTTTCCATTTACTTTACTTTCATTTCATTAATGCATGCAGAATATATGAATTTCGGATAACAATCCTAGACGAATTTCTGATATTTTTAACTATGTTTTCTGCACGTGGAATTGTGTATTTCTCTCCACCGTGGTATATTGTGTTCTTATTTACTCCGTATCTTATTATCGCATATCTTGTTCATATTGATATGTTGCCTACAGCCTACGTGTTTGTTTTATAAATGCCCGTATATTTACACGACTTTGTATGATTACTTATATATCAATTCGTTTCTCTCAATTTTTAGATGATGTTTAATGTCTTCTCCAACTAAATTTATTTTGCATATATGAGCAGAATAAATCACTCCTATATTTATTTGTCATCACTATCGCAGTAGTATAATTTTGTGATGATTCTGAATCTGTTAGTACAGTTTTAGGTTTCATGAGTTCGCATATTCTACATCCGTCCCGCTATGATTGTCTCATTTTACCCTATCGGCCCGTCTCACTAAGATTGTTGCATACCAAATTTTGTAAAGTTTGTGTGGCTCTAAATCATTTTTATATCATTCTTACTTTATCAATTCAATATCAACCATATAAATAATTTTTTTTTCTTTTAATTCAATTTAATATGTCTGCATTACTTTATTATTTATCGGTTTGCATGATATACAATTGTTTCCTCCAATTATTGTCGCATAATCTGCCGCCATTATTCTTTGACATTTGACATCTTTAATATTTTGATTAGAGGAAATTACCAAAATACGGGATATTCCCGTCTGACAAGCCAAAATGCGGGACTTCCAATTAGGTTACTAGGGGAGGGCTTCCAAATTAGGGGTGAATATCCTGTCGGAATTGGGCAATCCGACAAGAGTATTCAAAAGTAATAATTCGTTGCTAACTTTCTACTAATAGATACATCCCTTGTCGGAACTACATAATCCGACTAGGAGATGTTTTTAAAATATCTTGCTTTTTATTGCGTTTTTATGTATAAATAAAATATATGTATAAAATATTGGTTTTCATATTATGTTTTTTACTGGGGTAATTGTTATTAACGTTTTTGTTTCAATATGGAAATTATTTATAAATTTATAAATATTGGATTCTTATTAGTACTCTACACGGATGGATATTTTCTCACATTTGCAGATTCGTCATTTTACCATGAAGACATAGCGGGGGTATGAAGACATAAAATTTAATCAGATACTCAATCGGATAAATTTAATCAGATAAAATATAACCAGATAAAATTTAATCAGACAAAATCAATCAAATAAAATTTAATCAAATAAATTCCATCGGATAAAATTTCATCAAATAAATTCCATCGGATAAAATTTTATCAGATAAATATAATTAGATAAGTTTATGCAGAAGCAGGGCATTCACGATGTGTATCAGCTCGCCAACCAGGCGGGTTATGAGAATGTTAAAGAACGGCTTGAGCGGTTGGCCATGGATTTAGGTGATGAAGAGATGCTCCACCAGGGCGTCACCGTCATCGTCATCAACATCATCATCATCAACATCATCATCACCATCACCATCATCAACATCATCATATTAATCATCATAATAATAATCATCATCATAATAATAATCATCATCATTGTAACACCCCGGTCCGTAGGGCACGGGGTAGTTACTGATACGCACCTTTCGGACCTCTGGTACTGTGATCCACACACCTTCCACAATCATAATATTCATCATCATCATCATATTCAACAACATCATAATAATCATCAACATCACTATCACCATCATCACCGACATCACCATCAACATTAGCATCACCATCATCATCAACATCATGACCATCACCATCAATAGCAACATCATCATCATCATCATTATCATCATAATCATCATCAACGACATCATCACCATCACCATCATTATTGTAAGTTGATGCCTTAAAATCGTATTAAATTCTACTCCCTCTATTCCATGAGAAGGTTCTCACTTTCCTTTTACTATGAGAACCTTCCAACGGGATGGAGGGAGTATGAATTTATAAATTGCGTTCAATTTTGATTTAGAGTACAATTTCGAATTTAGTAATTTAGAGCTAGTTACATTTGATCAACCACCGCCGTATTATGATTTTTATCTGTACTCCACACAGTCAGATGATTTTATTTCCTCACCAATCAGTTCAGACCAGACTAGGGCTGTTAACGACCCGAGCCGAGCCCGAACACCCAAAGCTCGAATTCGGCTCGATAAGGAATTAGTGGTGTTCGGGTTCGAGCTCGAAGCTCGGCGAACTTTACAAATGAGGCTCGTGTTCGGCTCGACAGGTGTTCGATGTTCGAACCGAGCGCTCGATAAGTTCGATAAATATGCTCCAATTTAAAATTTTAGGTGATGCTCGTTAATAGGCCCGTGCTCGAATGATTCGATAAGTATTCAGTTCGTTAATAATCATATTTAAATTCATAAATCATACTAAATATATTTAAATTCATAAATCATACTAAATATATTTAAATTATCGAACCGAGCGCTCGATAAGTTCGATAAATATGCTCCAATTTAAAATTTTAGGTGATGCTCGTTAAAAAGCTCGTGCTCGAATGATTCGACAAGTATTCGATTCGTTAATAATCATATTTAAATTCATAAATCATACTAAATATATTTAAATTCTTTCATATATATATAAATTATATTTATAATTTCAGAGTGTTCGATAGGCTCGAGTTCGAATCGAGTCGAATACTACTATGTTCGAGCTCGGCTCGATTAGTTTTTCGAACTTAAAACTCAGCTCGGGTTTGAGTTCGAAAGCTCATTAAGCTCTGCTCGTTAGGTTCGAAACCGAGCTCGAACTCGAATAGTTCGATAAAAGCTCGATTCGTTAACAGCCCTAGACCAGACTGGACTTAGATAATTATAAAAATACAAAGAAACCAGATCAGACCAAAACAATTCAGACCAGACCAGCAAATTACAATCCAAGTTAAAACATCCTAGGTCTTCATAAAACCCAAAAGCGAGCATTAGGCCCTCATAAAATCCAAAAGCCAACATTAGGCCCTCAAAGTAGTCATAGAGTTCATGAAATGGTATACTAGGGGTCCAGACGTCCAGTATTACTTGAGTGGCAATGGAAAATCTAGTGCATCAATTAGCTTTAGGTTTAGAATCTTTATATATACAAAACGAAGTGGAAAAATTGGTGAATCCCTCTTCCAAAAATGTCAAAGTCAAGGGTAAAAAATTTAGTATTGCGCTGGAAGCTAACAAAACTTAGGTTTGCTCAAAGATCGACCAAAATTATTTAATGTATTAAGCTGTGAGGGTGCCAAAACTTGTTCATTCCAATTGAACATGGAGTATTGTTATTGTATTGGGTGACGAGAAAGTTGTCAGACTCAACTCTTCTCTTGAATAGTCATAATATAGTTGTCTTAAACCCAATATTTAATAAATGAATTACAAAAATAATGGTGACAATGACTCATTCCCTTTTGAGAAAGAAGTTCCATGGAAGCTTCCTAAAATCATACTAGTATACGGAGTATAATTTATGATATTCGTAATCTTATTCATTTTATTAGCCAAAAAATATTTAGTGATCATATTCTAACATTTAAAAATTTGAAGTTAAATATAAGCCTTATTGGAATATATGGTAATTCATTCAAATTATGATAAATAAACCTAAATATGTCTTGAGATTTTTCGGGGCAAAATTAAGGTAATCTTCTTATAATTGTAATGGGATATAATTTAGTACGGAGTAGAAAATACTACAATGTAGATATATATTTAAGTGATTGATACAATATTTGATTGAGATTTGCTCTAAAATTCATATACAAAACAATATGCAGTATCACATTTTTTCTTATTTATTGTCAAAGTGCATATTGAAGAAAATCAATATTAAAATTAATATTAAAATATCTTAAAACAGAAGGATAACATATTAAAATATCTTAAAATTAATATCCGCAATTGAATAAGAAGTATTGCATAAAAATGAATATGTATGTTCTATAATAGATAGCAGATTTGAGAATAAGAAGTTAGAACTCTGTAAAGCTATTTCTAGCATAAGTATTAAATTTTTAAATATTTTTTATCTTTCAATTTCTTAAACAACACATTTTTAAGACTTAAAATGAATTGATGGCATAACATAAAAAAGTATAAACTTACACTAAACTAATATTATCTTTGGTCGTAGTGTGTAATTTGCATTAAATGACAGGTCCTGTGAGGTACATCAAAATATACACATACCAAGAAATATATTACTCCATACGGCGTATATTTTAAAGCATATAGTTACCTGAGTGTAATAATAACCTCCATGGTGTTGTTTAAGATATGGGGATTTGTTACTGTGAGTAGTTGTGAAGTGTTGTATATTTTATACTGTTTAAACATTGTACTACTATTTCATAAAATGATATTTATCTTTGTATAAAGACAGGAAATGAGTTTGAAAATACGGAGTAGCTTTTAAGATGAGTTTGAAAATACGGAGTAGCTTTTAAGATTCATGGTTGAAGAAGCAAAGTTGGTGATGAAGTACCTTATGAGTTTGAAATATGTCTAATTCATGGAGTATGGGTAGAGTCACACAGCCTCGATTTTGAGTTTCATGAAGTGAAGTTGCAAAGACTATCATTTCGAAAATGCAGACAGTGAATTGGGTTAATGTGCAGAACTGCAGATTTATGAGTCTATGAATTCATTTTTATGTGATTAGCTTGAACACAACATTGATAAAAAATACAGTTTTACTCCGTAGTATTTAGCACCCCCTCCACATTTTATTATTTGTAATGTATTCCGTTTTTCTTTTGGTACAGATTTGTATTGTTTTAGTGGTACCCATCACTCATCCAATTTAGTTTCCCTCACTGTCTTCTAAAAGTGAATAATGACTTGATTTTTTTGTTCCGTGAATCGCACGGGTGAAATTCTAGTAGAGTCAGAAACAATATCGACGTAAAATAAAGTGCTCCATTCGTGCTCAACATCAAAGGCATACAGACTTGTATGGCAAAAGATATACAAACATATATATTAATGTACCCAAGTTCTTAGAAACTCAAATCCAAGCTGCACCATGACCCTCATCATCTAACTCACTTGCTTATCCATTCACTCCAAGTTCCAGGTACCTAAATCACAAACAAACCCAACTCCTCAACTAATTTAAACCCTCATTTAGTAAAGTAAAACATTTATTAAGATACCGAGTTTCATCCTAAAAGGTGGTTAAACTTGATAGTAGGAGTAGTACCCAATTATCTTATATACTAATTTTATTATTTTATCCCGGTTTGCCATAAATACTTCAACAAATATGGCACTGTACTTTCATGGTATTGCACTTGAATGGAAGAGATTTGATATAAACATACCTGATGAAGGGATTTACTAGAAGTTAGGATCAACTAGCTCCCCATTCCTGTACTCTCTGTAAGCAGAGACGGGCCAACTGAAGGCTTTCCAGATGAGTCGGTTGGCCAAAGGAACATCGATGATGATCTCCTTCTGGGTTGGCTTCTTTTCATCTCTTACAGCGATCAGGTAGCTCCTGCCAGCCCACCCGATCCATCCAGCAATGTAGAGGAAAAGTAGCCCTGGGGTGATGAACTCTCCCCAATGTCTCTGGTCCCCGTTCACTATCAAGTGTGGCAGACCGTCTGATCCACACAATAACCCTTGCTTCCCATAGCTATCAAATCTGTTTCATAATATTAATCCAAACAACACCAAGGTATTATTCATATCAGTGTTGTAAAAATCCTAGTCTAGGTATTCGGGCATTACTTATCAGCTCCAATTTTAATTCAGCCCTGTAAAACAGTTCACTTGAGAGTTAATAGACACTGTGTTTAGATCTGGCAATTGGTCGGATCTGGATGAAATTGACAATTCCAGCTTTGAATCCACTCACAAAAAATGACCAAGATCTGTACCCAGGACCTGTCAAGGTTAAAATATTCTATCCCCAGTCTGAATTCATTTATGAACTATGAAATTATGTCTAACTCGTCTTAAAAGAATGTTTATCTCATATTTACATATAACTATATTAGCTACTTATATGGTATGTAATCTAAATGGGATACTAAGCACACAATCAACACAAACTACACAACTTGATGGGTTCATAAGTTGGTCTAATGGACCCTAAATGAGTTATTCTAAATTATGGGGTGTCGAATAACAAATAAATCAAAATCTCATCTATTTATGATACCATATTTTACTATGCATAGCTCAAGAGGCACAGTCTAGGTATTTGCATATAAATATTTAATGTGAATATCATGTAAATATCGGGTAAACGTCCCCGATATAAATGGATGATATTGTGCTGAGTTAACAGATTTTTTGCACATTAACACCAGAAAAATCCAAAACATGTTAAGAAGTAATTCATAGTTCATAGTTATTTGCAAGATCAATTACAATTATTGCAATACAGCCTTTCCCAGACAAACTTACAGCACTTCATATAAGTATTAATAAGTCATTTTATAGTCATTTAAAAATATCTACTTCATGATTGTACCCACATATTATTATACTCCTTCGAACCACTAAATTTTCTCAATGTTCTATTCCAATTCATTTATCTGTGTAGAAAAATGTAGCATATTTATGTTATTTTATTATGTGTACATTCGGAACTGTATAGATAGGAAGTAGAGTTGATTTAGGACTCTAACTCTTAGATTAACACGCAGTGTAGATAAGAATAGATAGATCCTAAATATTAGGATCTGTAACAAACCTTAGCTTATCTGTAATTTTGTATTTATATCATTGCCGGATGGCTCAATAATACATGGAAGATTAATTCTTCAAACCTACATGGTATCAGAGCTTCGGTTTAAACAATGGTAGAAACCAGTGAAGCTGATTCCTCACACACTACCAACCCTAACTCCCAAATTAGCTCTATGACAAATTACCAGTCTACTATTCATTCATCTATGATAATCACTAGTCATAGACTGAATGGAACAAACTATCTGGAGTGGTCTCAATCTGTCAGACTTGCAATTGATGGGAGGGGAAAGCTGGGTTACATCACAGGAGAAATCCAACCAAAAATACTTGCAGAAGAAGGGTACAGTACATGGAGGTCAGAGAATTCACTCATAACAGCTTGGCTTCTCAACTCCATGGAGCCCCTAATTGCCAAACCTCATATGTTTATGAAAACTGCAAAGGAGGTATGAGATTCTATTAAGGAAACTTATTCAGACCTTGAGAACTCTTCTCAAATTTTTGAACTCAAAACCAAATTGTGGCAATCTAAACAAGGAAATAGGGATATTATTTCATACTGCAATGAAATGGTATCTCTGTGGCAAGAATTAGATCAATGCTATGATGATGAAGAGTGGGAGAGTGCTAAGGATCTGGCCAGACATAAGAAAAAAGAAGAGAATGATAGGGTCTATATGTTTCTAGCAGGGATCAATAGGGACCTAGATGAAGTTAAGGGAAGGATGCTTGGAAAAAAAACCTCTACCTTCTATCAAGGAGGTATTTTCTGAAATCCGGATGGAGGATAGCAGGAAGAAGGTCATGTACAACACCCCAGCACCTAATGAGGAACCTGGGGAATCTTCAGCTTTGGTGGCCAGAAGTGATGACAACAAGAAAAAACCTTGGTGTGATCACTGCAAGAAACTGTGGCACACAAGGGATACATGCTGGAAACTCCATGGAAAACCACCAGGAGCTGGGAAGAAGAAAGTAGAAAGGGCCCTACAAACTACTGTGACTGAGACTCAACAAGAGGCAGGAGTTGAACCTAAACAGCTACCATTCACTCAGGAACAGATAGAGTACCTACTCAGATTCATACCTACCCAGAAAATCTCCAATCCTGAAAACCCTACCTGTTCTTTTGCCCAGAATGGTAAAATAACATCATATTTTTGTTCTGAAAAAACTAAAAACACCTGGGTCATTGACTCAGGTGCAACAGACCACATGACCTATATTCCAAAGTTTTTTTCTTCTTATCAACCTTGTGCAAGAGATAAAAAAGTTAGAGTTGCAGATGGCTCTTTCTCAGCCATAGCAGGGATGGGAAATATTAAAATTTCCTCATCCATTAACCTTTCCAAAGTCTTACATGTTCCTAAACTTTCCTTCAATCTTATCTCTATTAGCAAAATTACTAAAGATCTTCAGTGTTGTGTAAATTTTTTTCCCTCTTATTGCATTTTTCAGGATCTGGCATCAGGGAAGATGATTGGCAGTGCTAGAGAGGAAGATGGCCTCTATACTTTTGATGAAGGAACACAATTGAATAAACAAGGTCAAGAAACAACTTGTTTGCAAACTGTTTTTCCTTGTAATAATGAAGTGTACCTAATGCACTATAGATTAGGTCACCCAAGTTTTTCCTATTTGAAAATGTTGTTTCCTAAGTTATTTCTTAATAAAAATCCTTCATCATTTCATTGTGACATGTGTGCACTTGCCAAACATCATAGGAGTTCTTACATCCCTCATAGTTACAAACCAACTAGTCCTTTCACTATTGTACACAGTGATATCTGGGGTGCATCTAGAGTTTCAACTCTGAAAGGAAAAAGGTGGTTTGTAACTATCATAGATGATCATACAAGGGTCACATGGGTGTTTTTACTTAAAGAAAAATCTGAGATTGAAGAGGTGTTCAAACAATTTTACTCAATGATCCAAACTCAATTCAACACTAATATCAAAATTGTGAGAAGTGATAATGGACTTGAGTATTTTTCTAAGAAGTTAAATACTTTTTTTGCTGAAAAAGGGATTGTTCATCAAAGTTCATGTGTAAATACTCCTGCTCAGAATGGAATAGCTGAGAGGAAAAATAGACATTTACTTGAAGTTACTCGTGCAATAATGTTTTCTGCCAAAATTCCAAAATATTTATGGGGAGAAGCTGTTTTACATGCTACCTATCTAATTAATAGGATGCCATCAAAAACTCTAGGATTCAAAACTCCTATTGCTACTCTTCAATCTTGTTTTCCTGAAACTAGACTAATTAATTCTCTTCCCATAAAAATTTTTGGGTGCACAGTTTTTATTACCAATCCTGACAGAACTGCAAGTAAATTTGACCCTAAGGGAAAAAAATGTGTTTTCTTAGGACTCTCTTCAACTCAGAAAGGCTATAAATGTTTTGACCCTATAACAAAAAAGATGTTTATAACTATGAACACTGTTTTTGTAGAAGATCAACCTTTTTTTGGTACTCATCTTCAGGGGGAGATTCCTAATGAAGATGGTAATAATGTATCACATATCCTTGAAAAACTAGAACCTCTTGACATTAATCTAGATGCACAGTATAATAGACAGTTAGATGCACTAGAAAATAGTCAAGAGTCAAAAGAAAATGAATTTTTTTTTTCTGAAACAAGGAAAGATGATGAACAGCAGACAAGTAAGTTTTTTGGCAAGGTTTATGAAAGGAGAGTTCCAAATCACAGAATAGAGGACATCCCTGATCCTGCCACTGTCAATGAATCTGACTCAATGCCAGAAAATGACAAAGGTAATAATTTCAGTGATCTAAATCTACCCATTGCTCTCAGAAAAGAAAAAAGGTCATGTGTTAAATACCCTATCTCAAACTATCTGTCCTATTCTCAGTTATCTACATCATTTGCAGCTTTTACCTCTAGCCTTTCCATTGTCTCTATTCCCTTAACCATACAGGAAGCCCTATCTATACCTGAGTGGAAGAAGGCTGTTTTAGAAGAAATGAATGCCCTTGAAAAGAATCAGACATGGCAGACTGTAGAGGTACCCAAAAATAAACCAAGGGTTGGATGCAAATGGGTGTTTACTCCTAAATTCAAGGCAGATGGTACACTTGAAAGATATAAGGCCAGACTGGTTGCCAAAGGATACACACAAACCTATGGCATAGATTATACAGAAACTTTTGCACCAGTTGCAAAATTAAATACTATAAGGATTCTACTATCTCTAGCTTCTAACCTAGACTGGCCTCTTCAACAGTTAGATGTGAAGAATGCTTTCCTAAATGGGAAGCTTGAAGAGGAAGTATACATGAGCCCTCCTCCTGGGTTTGAGGAACAATATGGCTCAAAGGTGTGCAAGCTAGAGAAAGCCTTATATGGGCTTAAACAGTCCCCAAGGGCTTGGTTTGAAAGGTTTACTCAGTTCATAAAGAAGCAGGGATTCAAACAAGTCCAAGCAGATCATACACTATTCATGAAATTCTCCATTAAGGGAGAAATTGCAGTACTAATTGTTTATGTGGATGATATAATTCTTACAGGAAACTATTGTGAAGAGATTGAAGACCTGAAGAAGAAGCTTGCTCAGGAATTTGAAATCAAAGACCTGGGAGAATTGAAGTATTTTCTTGGCATGGAGATAGCCAGATCAAAGAAGGGAATTGTGGTATCCCAAAGGAAGTATGTACTAGACCTACTTCATGAAACAGGTATGAGTGCATGCAGACCAATAGATACTCCAATTGACCCTAATCAGAAGTTAGGAAATGTCAAGGAAGGAGTACCAGTTAATATTAACCAATATCAAAGATTGGTGGGAAGGTTGATTTATCTGGCACATACAAGGCCAGATATTGCCTTTGCAGTCAGTATGGTTAGTCAGTTCATGCATAATCCATTCCAAGAACATCTAGATGCTACCTACAGGATCCTAAGATATTTGAAAAGTTGTCCAGGGAAAGGATTATTTTTTAAAAGAAGTGACAATAGAAGTGTAGAAGCCTTTACAGATGCAGATTATGCTGGGTCAATAACTGATAGAAGGTCTACATCTGGATATTGTACTTATGTATGGGGGAATCTGGTGACTTGGAGGAGTAAGAAGCAGAATGTTGTTGCCAGAAGTAGTGCAGAATCTGAATTTAGGTCTATGGCTAATGGAATATGTGAGCTACTTTGGATTAAGAGAATGATGACAGAGTTGAATATGGAAATGGACCTACCTATGAAATTATATTGTGACAATAAAGCAGCCATTAACATTGCTCACAATCCTGTGCTACATGATCGTACTAAACACATTGAGGTGGACAGGCATTTTATCAAAGAGAAGATTGAAGCTGGAATTATATGCACACCATTCATATCTACTAAAGAGCAGACATCTGATATCTTTACAAAGGGGCTGTTTAAACCAGTGTTTGAGTTTCTTATAAGCAAGTTGGGAATGTATGATATATACTTACCATCTTGAGGGGGAGTGTAGAAAAATGTAGCATATTTATGTTATTTTATTATGTGTACATTCGGAACTGTATAGATAGGAAGTAGAGTTGATTTAGGACTCTAACTCTTAGATTAACACGCAGTGTAGATAAGAATAGATAGATCCTAATATTTAGGATCTGTAACAAACCTTAGCTTATCTGTAATTTTGTATTTATATCATTGCCGGATGGCTCAATAATACATGGAAGATTAATTCTTCAAACCTACAATCTGATTATGAATATCAATTTTAATATGTTCCCAATATAATTAATTTTTAAACTGGGATGACGTACGGGGCAGGTAGTGCATAGATCAACCCCTCCCTTCCCCGTGACTCTACTATATGGACCCATTCCGCCCTGTGACCCGAAACAGGTCATTAGATCTTGCCCCATAACCTGCCCATGTGAATCGGGTCTGCTCCGCCCGCCTGCTTGTATCAATTAGCTAGTATACATTTCATAATTCAAATTTACATTAAATTAATCATCAAGTTATAGTACGAAAAAAGTAAATATAAAAAAATAAGTCACAATAAAATAAAAAGTGCCAAAATCTTAGAAAATATAGCCTAGACTTAAACTACTAATCTATTTATTTTAATAAATGAATAGATGAAATCCCAAAATACATAATCTATTTATGTATGTACACGTGTACATATTGGGCGAGAGGGTCATGTTGCATATTAATACGCCATGGCCGTCTTTTAGGAGGTGCAATAGGTGCTTGGCACTAGGGCCCACTCTTGTGGGGGCTCCATAAATTTAGTATGTGGCATGGCCGTCTTTTGTGGAGTATTATTCAAGATTTCAAAAGGTATATATAACTTTTGGATTGTTTAATTTGTGTATTTTAAACATCATAAAACATAATGGTATATTTCATTGAACTACCAGTCTAATTTTATTTCAATGTCAAATTTTGTATTTTTTCTTGTTTAAGGGGGCCTCAAATCGCCATTTGGAACCGGGGCCTTCAAGTTTATTAAACGGCCCTGTAATAGGCAGCCCGCTTAATTGCATCTTGACTGTGCCCATGAACGGGCAAGGCTGGACCTGTTTGAATGATGGAGCGAACTGGGCAATACCCGCCCCAAATGTCTCTAAGGCAGGGTACTCAAGGATCCAGTTTTTCTCCCGAAAGAATGGCACAAATATGACCTCACCCCTTTCATTGGACAAAAATATGATCAAAATTCCTTTTTCCAAAAAAGTCACCGATTAACCCCAATCCACTTCCGCTTTTCTTCTTCGCTCTAGCCTAAACTTCCAGATCTGTGACGACATCGTTGCTGGATTCCTATGCAGTGCGGAGCTCCAGCAGCGAGGAGCAACATCGGTGGTGGTCCAGAACTCCAGATCCAGATGAAAATGGCTAGGGTTGGGGGTAATGCGATGGCTTGGGACGGATTCTGGCCAGGGGAAGGTAGGGAGGGACCCGGGAAAGGGCTAGGGGGCTGGGGAGGGGGTTTGGGGGATGAGGAGGGTAGGGTTGGAGCTGTCGACAACAGTCATAATGGACCAGATGGCGGTGGAGGCCAGAATGTTGCGGTGGTGGCCGGAGTTGGTGCGGCGGTGGTGGTATGTGGTGGGGATGTATTGGTGTTTCATTGTTGTCACTGTAAGCCCGACATGGTCGGAGTTTGGAGGGTGGCGGTCGTGGTGGGACGGCGGTGTGGCGTCAGTTCTCGAGCATAACTATGGAGGTTGTATAACATTTTGACCTGTGAAAAAATTTTCCAGCTTTTTTCCCGGCAGCACAGTGACACGTCTATAGCTTCGGTGACATTCGATTCGAAAGTGACATAAAAATCTGGTAATAACATATGACAGTGACAAAAAAAACTGATAGTTACATAAATTTATTACAAATATATGACAAAGTAACATTTTTAAAAAAGGTCACTTTTTGGAAATTCGTACTAGTATTAATTTAGTAATATTCTAGGAAAAAGGCCCTTTTCTGGCCTGCTTAATTTGAATATTAATTTTAGGTGAAGGAGGGATGTACTGAGGGAGTATTGCCTAAATACTGAGGGAGTATTGCCTATTTCCATTAGAAGCCTAATATTTCTTTAAATTTCCAGAACGGTGCTTATTTCGGTGACGAACAAAATTAAATCTTCACCTTAAATAGAGAATATACCAGTATCCCATAACGGAATCGGGTAGTCCAATCCCGCCAACAGAATTACCTGCGGTGAGTTCTCTCAATGGTGGCCTTGAGGGCGAGAGCAGGGGCGCTTTCGGGATCGTATTTCTTCAGAGCCGTCTCCAGCTTCTTCACTTGCTGCTTCTCCCGCTTGGCGAACTGCTTCGACTCATTGCACGGTGTCAGCCCTGAGATGTCTGCGGTGGCCGGAAGCACAGGCGCCGACATGATGACGGATGAGAGCGCGAGGGCGGCGGAGAACGCTTTCAGCGACGATGACGACGGCTCTGAAGATCCATTGCCAGAGGGACTGGAAGAAGAGGCCACTATAGTTGAAGACCTTGTTGACCTCGTGATCGACTTCGATGTTGGTGGATTGAAGGGTTTCGAAAGATTTGTGTGGACTGCGAGTGACATTTTCTAGTCTCAATTTGGTCAGATGCGGTGGCTTTCGCCGTGAAGGAGAGGAGAAATGGGTTTTAGGAAGATCAAAAATGAAAATCGTTTGCAGATTTTGGTGGGAAGAGATCGGTGGTGGAGAAAAAAGGATAAGATTTCGAAAGAGTAAGGGAGGCTGAGCTGGAGCTATGTGGGTGGATACAAGAAGTACTCCTTCTATCGCTAATAGCAAAAACTATGTGATAGAAATTTTGGGAAAGTGACAAAGTTTTTGGAACAACCAAAAAAGAAAGTTGGCAAAGTTATGAGGAACAGAGTCAGTAGGTCATTCCATATTTCAAGATTGTGGGATTTCAATATGTATCGATGTTTTTATTTAAGGCAATTTTTATGGTACCTTGAAGGTATGCTACCTTGGATTGTATGGATCAATCAAAAATTTTCAATTGAATAATTTAAATGCAAATAAAATTTAAAACTTTGAGTTAGATCAATGAAATACATCCTAAGTATGATACCCTCCTATTTTTATTGGGTACCATAGCAAGCACCTTTATTTAAATTAAAATTTTATGTGGTCTGATCCGCCTACAACCAATCTATTTTTGTATTGAATTAGTTGAGACTTAAATAGTTACAACTAAAAAAATTCTTACATTCGAGAAAGAGCACTTTTTATGCTAGGAAAGAAAGATCATTTTCTTTTTAATATACGTTGTTTGTACATTTTTTATAAACTCTGTGCGTACTTGAATAATTTTTTACTTTTTCAAATGTGGTTTTTGCTTTAGGAAATTGAAAATTAATTTTGTTCATATTTTTTTGTTTTTTTTTTACATTTTGATTCTATCCACAGATTACTCAATCAAACGAATGGTCTATGTCATCCACATTTTATTACGTTTTACCACATTTAGAGTCACTCCTTCATCTGGCAACAGTCTCCCATCGGTCGTCGGCCACCTTGGTATTCAGACGCCCAACTGCCCGCCCGCCACCACTCGCACAAAAGCTCGTTGCTCGCCCATCGTCTGCCTCCAACCACCCTCTAGCCTCCAACTGCTCACTACTCGCTCGTTCACTTGTTGCCCGCTGTCCATCGTCCGCCTCACCACTCACTCGCTCGCCGCTGGTGCCCCGCTTGACTTCCAGTCTCATCTTCTTCCTTTACTTCTCCTTTTCTTTCTCCTTCTCCTTTTTCTACTTATATTTCTTGAAATTATGGTTGGTGATAATGGACCCGGACCCGCTAAGTTAATAATGGACCCGGATCCGACCCGTTTACCCGGCGGGTCTGAAAATTTGGACACGGACCCAGACCCAACGGGTCTCGAAATCGGGTTGGGTAGACCGGTCCACCAAGTATGATACGCACATCATTATAAACTTTGTGAAAATGCCAAGACAGATATGTAAAATATAAAGCAAAGTGTACAAATATTAAAAGCAAAATGTATCTTCACTTTTCAAACAAAATCAAAGTCTCTCATAGAAAATTAGTACTTTTATATAATAAAGTATCGTTTCTTATACAAACATATAGCTCCACACTTTACGTCGCTTTCTCTCGCACAAAAACCTCGTAGAATAAACTAGAAATTAAGTCATAAAAGGTCTTTTGGACTACTAAGAGTATAAAATCATATGTAGTAATATATATGATAATGATATAATAATATTAATAATAATAGTAACAAATATTGTGTTTTTCCTACCGAGCCCAATACACACTTTATGAGTATGTATTTACGGTCAAAATGGGCATTAGTTTTAGCCTTTTAGGGTACCTTACTATCTCGATCAGTTATGTATTAATGTATATATTTTTATTAAAGACTCGCAACTAATAACTTTATGTATTATTATGTATATATGAATATTAGTTTCTATTTTATTTAAAGTATTATACCTAATCACTTTATGTATTAGTGTCTGTGTATATAAATAAGAAATTTTAAACGGGTCCGGGTCCTTAACGGGTCGGAATAATATGTACCATACCCGGCCCATTTATTTAAAATACTAACGGCTCCGGGTAAACGGAATAAAATATAGACCCGTACCCATTAAAAACAATCGGGTCCGGATCGGGTCCGGGTCTAGACCCGACCCATTGACAGGTCTACACCCAAAGAATGATGTTTAACTGTCACTCCGACAACTCAGATTCTTCAGCCAATGGTGCCCGAGGTTGAAGACGAACAAAAGGTTGAAGATGATTGAAGACCATGTTAATGCAGTGAATATGACAAGAAATGTTTGATGTAAAGCATTAACACTGAAATAAAGTGGAATATATTGAATTAGACATAAAACTTGAGTTATCAAATTCAAAGAGAAAAATATTATCATAAATTCCTTCCTAACACTTTCGTAAAGATGTACGTTAACTCTAGCATAAAGTGCATAAATTTAATCAAACATAAAAAATTAGTCATCAAATCTAAAAAAGAAGATAAATTTGTAACATGTTCGTAATGTCTCGCAGGCATAAAGTGCAATATTTTCACACTATTTAATTGGACAAATCTAAACGTGCATAAGGTGCATTCTTATTAATAAGAGTATTTTCGTCCTCCAACATTTAAATATGACAAGATTTTCTTTTTTTATTGCTTTGTAGTCATACAAATGTTTAAAAACAAAGATAGTCGTATTTAGAGAATGTTTTTGTCATATTTTGAAAAAAAAATCCCAATTTTTTTCATGCCTTGTTCTCAAATTTTAAATCTCATTCAGTCATAAAAAGGCTAAACACACTTCTGTCTTCAATACGTCTTTCACACTCAACCTCAGGTCAATTCCAATCCAGTTCTGGCTCATTTGCTTATTAAAAGACCACAAGTCCATAACCAGCTTAGCCTGGTTCCATGTCCGAGACCAGAAAACTGGTTTGGCCTCCTACAAAGATATGTGCTGGTTCCAACCAGGGTCCATTTGTTTACTATGTAAATAAAATAAAATGAAGGGAACATAAAAAAAAATGTACCAAATTTTAGAAACATGAATTAGTCCAATCTGGCATTCTGGCCTCTAATGGAAATTGAAAAGCCACCCACATCACTCACACATGCCCGAAAAGAAAATAGGAGTACTAATGCCAAACAAATAGAAACTACAGAAACCACAAATGGCCATAAATCCAAGAACCAACACCAAACTCCAATAGCCTGGCTAATTAATCAGTTAACATCAGGGGTCTCGACTTCGGGGTTCTCCTGTTCAGCCTCCTGCACTTCCTTTTCCGTCTTCCTTCCCTTCTTCGACTTGTAGTACACACTCATGAAGGTGCCTATGGCTTTATACTTGCGCCTGCAGTGCTCATACAGCCCAGCATCAAACATCCTCCAGAAGCTCTTCTCCGACAACTCAGACACCGCATATTGTGGTTGGAACCCGTGGTTTTCAATCAACCAATCCTCTAAACGACGCACTGCCAATGAACCATCAAATACTTCACCCCTAAGGACAGGGCCAGGTGCATAGTACACTCCAATATCAGTGTACATTTGAGCGTACTCCGTGTCACCCTGCCTTTTGTGCAGCTCAAATCCTGGTTCCGGATATATCATGGTTTTCAAGGGAAGCCTGTAAAGTCTGTGTGGGCAAAGCCAGATGGGGTATACATCCATCTCACGGTGAACCCACTCGAGAGCATCTCCAACCTTGTAGAGAGGAACAAGCAAGTCCTGAATGACATGATTGTCATGGTAATAGTTCCTAATGGCCTCACCTTGAGTAGCCTTGAGTAGAGACACTTTAGGCGGCATCAACCACCCAAGCAGAAACCTAAACCACCACTGGTCAGCAAACGGAAGGATAAGTTTGCCTTCCCAATACAGACACCTTGTGTGCCTATGGTAGTATTGCCTTGTCGGTATGTACTCCACAAACTCCCCTTTCTTAAGTGCTGTTTGGGCGTGTTGGTAAAACCACGTCTTGAACCACCACCCGACATTGTTGATCTTATTCCCCTTCCTTTTTGCCTCTTCTTTAGACGCATATCTACCTGTCATGCAAACAGCTTCTGTAGGAGTGTAGATCATGGTTTCCACAAAGTCGGGAACTTTATCTGGGTTGTCTTGATCTCCATCTCTTGGTGCAAATGAGTCTATGTAAGCCTGTGCGATCTCTCTTAGATTACCAACCACGGGTGTGTAAGTGACTTTCATGTATTCCTTAATCGGTATTAGCTTAATCTCTGCAGAAACAAGAAGTCCAAGAGTGCCCTGAGACCAAGGAACCCCATAGAAGAGGTCCGAATACTCATTGTCTTTGGTAGCCCGAACTACCTCTCCATCCGCTAGTATGATCTCATATGCCACAACCGTATCCGAAAACAGACCGTACAAGTGTGAGCTACCTTCAATGCCGTAGCCATTGATCAGGCCACCAACCGTCAAGTCGTCCAGCTCAGCCACAACAGCGAGCGATACGTTCAATGGGACGGTGGCCCGACTTATTTGACCCATGTTGACTAGTGGCTCGACCTTGGCGACCATCTTTTCAGTGTCGATATCTAAAATGTTCCGGAACGCAGAGAGGTCAACCTCATAGTGGCGGGCCCGCTTGTAGTCCACATTCCGCATCCCGACGGCCACCCACGGTTTTCGGGCAGTGCAGACAAGACCATCCTTGGATGCGTCCCTTTCTTTCAGACGCTTCACAACTTTCTTGACATTGTCATCATGTTCCTTCTGGCGACGCTTAAAGGACTTGCAGTTGGACTTCACGTCACCAAGATATATGGCAAAGTAGTAGAGGCAGGAGACTGGGAGGACAACAAAGATAACGATGATCCATCTGAACTGCACTAGGAAGTCCACCCAACCCCTCTTTCTCTTGGGACGAAGGGGAGCCTCAAGGTCTGACATTGTTGTTGGTAAATCAGGGGTGCCCTGCACAGCAACAACAACAAACACCAGTGTGTGAGCTGGGTAGAGAATTGCGAAACTCTGACTGTTCACTCTTTTGTGCTTCCCAATTAAAAATCCAATCTTAAAATTTATCCCAGCAGACAGAATGGTGTGAAAACTGTACTTACATTCTATAAAGTGAAAGATGAATTTTAATTTTTTAAAATCCAACAAAAACTGCAGATCTGTTAATGTAATAAATAATCAATATAACAATGAAACTATCAATCTAGGACCCAAAAGATAAAATTGTTATCAATAACAAAAAAAGGCCCGACCCAAAAGATAAAATCGTTATCAATAGAAAAATAAAGGCCCGGATGATCGAAAAATGTCGATCTAAGACCTAAATTCCATGAATTTTAGCGTTTTTTATTTTAAAACAATTAAATATTAAATCTCATTAAAATGATAAACTTTTATGAAGAAAAAAACATCAAAAATTAACAATGGAATTAATAAAGAAATTAAATAAATCAAAATCTATTATATTTTAGATCTTAGATGGATAGTTTTCAATCGATCGTTAAGGTCTTATATCGCACATTTTATCTTTCACATTCGATAAAATTCCAAAAAAACATGTTAGAGAGGAAAAAAAATCGTATTGGAGTTTATACAACAAGAGCATCCAAATCTTCATCACAAAAGATTTTATATTCGGCTAACACGAATTGATACATGATATTGGAGACAAGGAGAAAAGAAAGATAAAAAGATAAGATATGATAAAAAATAACAAAGATACGATACAGACAAATATAAGATTGATATAAAAATGATAATATGAAAAGAATATAAAAAATATTCCATCTCCATACCAGCTTTTTCTACCCACTTTGCGTTAGCAAAAAATGAGAAAAGTGTTACTCACACAAATCATCACTTAAAATGAGAAAAGTGTTACTCACACAAATCATCACTTAAAATGAAAAGGGAAGATAATTTTGGGACATTCAAAAAAAGAATTGGGAAAAACCCATTGGAAGGAGAGAGTATAATAAAGTCATAATATTGTCATATTGAAAAAAATATACGCAGTGACAAAGAAAACAAAGATACTTATGTGATACGGAGTATGTGAAAAATAAATATTTGTACAACAATCTTTCAGACACATCTTCGAAAGTAAATGAGCACTGAAGAATAAAGAAAGCCAGAATACCGAACTACTCAATAAAGGAGATAAAGTGGCTAAACTCAAGCTTTAATTGTGGCTGTACAGCGGGTCCAACACTACAACCACATGGATAAATCGGGCAAGAAAACGTCCTTTTCGTAGTACACTTTTGGTCATAACATGGTTAGATCTGGGGGAAATGGGTTAAGAGGATGAATGATTGGGTCGCAGTACAACATCTTCAAAAACATGCAGAAGCTAGAGAAGCTCAAACTCACATCTAAACCAAACAATACTTAAAATTGTTAATGCGGAATAGCAGATCTATAACCCACTTGGTCTCACATGTGAAAGGAGACATATATAAACGTAATATATAAAAAAAAGCCATCTTTTTGGTTCAGAAATGAATCTTGACCGAATATTCAACGATTCAGAAAAACCCCATCTTTTTGGTTCAACCCATAAATCTTTTTTAAATAAAATCCAAAACAGCGAAGAAAGATTCAAAGTTGAAGCAAAAATTTGAGAATTGAGCAAAAGATTAGCAAAATCCTTCAATGCTCAATCGGTTTCAGATATGGAGTAAAAAGTCTGAGCATTGACAGGGAGTTGTTCGGAAATGGCCTTACCTACTGAGTGAGGAGAGGGGTGAAGGTCGCAAAAATGAAACCAAAATTATGACTAAATTCGAGGAGGAAAGATTCGTATGTGAAGTGAAGCCATTGGGAAATAATGGAGAGGATGGAACCTGAAGCTGCTTTCCGAGGCAGACGAATTGAAGCTCTCTGAGACTTCGTGACTTGTGGTTTGTTCTAATTCATCCTGACTGTGAGCTGTTCGTGGCCGTCCATTTATACTCAGATGCGCCCCTTTTGTTATTTGTTCTTTTAGACCATTTGTATTTTGTAATGAGAGGGGAGAGAAAAAAAGGACAAAGGAAAAGAAAATGAGAAAGTTGCGGAAGAAGATAAGGCGGGTTAAAACAAAAAATGAACGTAGGTGATCAAGTCATAGTGACGTCATTTCAGCATTACTTGCACCTATTTGTGTTCCCAACTATTGATTATTATTGTATAATCCCAACTATATGTACTGTCAGCCAATAATGGTCCATTATCGCATATTATCTACTCTAACAAGTGAATTTTTAATAGAAATTAAGCGTAAAAATTAAAATTCGGGATTCTTTATAGGGATTACCTGATATATCTCTTTAGAAACTATAGGAATTTATTTATAGTCGGTCACCTCGTACCATTATTGGCGGAAGGGCCCTAAAGTTGGGGTTGTTCTGAAATAATCGATAGTTGGGATTATTATGAGCGAACCGCCAGTAGTTGGGATTATTACAATCATTTTTTCCAAAAATATATCAAAATTCATAAATTTTTATAACCTTTCATGTGACACCAATATTACATATAAAGTGGAAAAAATCAAAATTTTAATTGTTGAAGTTTTTTTGAGCCCAAAAAACTACGAAACACAAAATTTTAATTCATGGAGTTTTCATTAATATCTGAATATTACATCATCTCATTTTATTTTTTATGAAAGCTGAAAAACTTAAAGAGAAAATTAAACGAGAATGTTCAATTGGAATACGAATTTAATGAGAATGCTCATAAAATGTTCACACATGATTTAATTGAATGTTTAGAGGAGAATACGATAACAATCGAACTTTACTTGAAGTAATAAGTTCATTTTTGTTAACCGAAAAATGTTTAAAAATTAATGAAGTTTATTTTTTACTAAATTTAAAAGAAAGACATTACTTATAATAATTTAATCAATGTTTTACTAAATCGATTTGTAAAAAAAAATATGTTGAGTGTATTTTATTGGCAGTGCTGCAATGCAAGGAAAAACAGTATTGACGAAGTCTAAACACCGTTTTCATATGGATGAAATTATATTTAACATTTTAGACTCCCTACCACTACAAATGATCTTTTTCAGAAAACATATCCATGGGAACATTTTCATTGTCCAAAAAATCAAAAGGACCCTCTTTCTTTTTGTTGCTATATTTTGTTTTTTTGTTATGTATTTTGATTTAATTTTTACTACATTTTCCCTTTTGGATTAATTTTCCTTTTTAAATGAAATTACTTTTATTTTTTATGTTTTTCATCGCTCTTTCATATTTTCCATTTTCTAGAAAAGATCTCATGAGAAGTCCCTGTTAAACTGAAAAATGAGAAGCTTTATAGACCGTGCGATCAACCAATACATCTTCTCGTCATTAATGGCATTTTTGTAATTAAAATCAACTTTAAACCTTTTTCATATTGTATGTTTACGCATACCTAAATCTTGCTCCCATGACTCTCTTTGTTCCTTTCGTGCTTTTGGATGTCTTATTGAAGGGAAGGGGTGTGGGGGATGGTTCCGCGGCAGTCTAGAAATCGGCAAACATGTTTTTGTCGATCCATCCATTGGGGTTCATCGTTTGGGGCACCAATGGGAAACGAGAACCGCACTCGCTTCTGGGAGCCATCTTTGAGATTCAACGTCGAAAATCAATGGTAGTCGGCGGGTCGAATCGGGAATCCACGAAGGGTGAGGATGACTGGTTGAATTGATGCAGGAACCTTCACCGAAAATCCAATGACCTCGTGAAACCATTTGGGAGGCTACACTCTGCAACTCAACTTCAGCGGCTTGGACCATGTGGCAGCAAAATCAGAAGGGCTTCCGATCAGCCTCCACTTGCTGGCAGCTTCAGATCGATGCAAGGATAGTTGGAAGCAAGCCAGGCAATGCTGGAAGGATATGTATGGATGGATCCTTGCTGCAAACCTTTGTTCCTAGAGTTGGTACTACTCTGAAACAAATTCTAAGGAACATTTGGGGGGGGGCTGTGGTTTCATTTTAGAGCAAAACTTTTTGCTTCAATTCATCTTCCACTGTAATTCCATTGCACTTTGCTGTATTTATAATGCAAATGATCAACTATGAGTTCTGAACAAAATTTATGTCTTTTGAGTTAATAGTTATAATTCAATTGAGTAAAAGTTGTGCATTGACAGCGAATCTCAATCTACAAGTAATAGTCTTAATTCTTTAGTTCATTTTTTTCATGTTCAAAGGTGTGTTTGTCCCTTTGAATCCAACAATCACAGATTAGAATGGAGTAGAGAAGCGATGAACTGTATATTCAATACCAGAAAATGATCGTGAAATACAAAGCAGAGTATCGAAATACACGGTGCAACTATCTCTCTCTAGCTTGAATGTCTAGTCTATTTTTCGTAGACGCTTAGACACTTAGGGATTCGAGCCTTTCCTCCAGACTTTATAGGTCTAGGGAATAGGTCGTTACAAAAGGAGTATCTAATAAATAGATGGGCCCCTAACATTAGGTTGATCGAGTCTAATTACAAATATAATAGCTACATGAATACAAAGATTTGATCAGATTAGAAACCATAAAATGCTCCAACGATATCCCCTTTGATGTTCAATCGGTATTGCAGCGCGGGTTTCTTTGTCTTTGTGTTGAACTCGAGTTCTTGAGAAGGCTTTCTGAAGAAATCCTAGGAATCTCCCTTTGATGTCTTCTTGGAAATTTGTTCTTTGATGCCGGGAGTCGAGAGATTCTTCAAAGTTTTCTTGTAATCCTTGCCTTCTAGAAGTTGCTCTTGATAACCTTGAATGAATTCTGGTGCCGTCTCTAGAATGACTTGGCAGTTTTGGTGATTTGAGAGAGTAGAGAGTCGTCAATTGTGTGTTGGAGGAGACAAGTTTCTGATAATGATTTGTAAAGAGTAAGCAACACGTGGACCACTCTCCCCCTCATGGCGATCCGATGAATCAGGGCGTCATGCCTTTATTCTTTTATTTTGGGTAGCAAAATATAAAAACAAACAGTAAGGTAAAACCCAGAGACTATGGTCTTCCGTTATCACAACAACAATGTAAATACTGATGTGTTGCATGTATAAAATGATAGAAGCGTTACAACTCTAACAAGATTTCCGACCAATCATCATGAATCATCCCAAATAGATGTCACTCTGGTCGTTATAGCATGATCACAAGGATCAACAATTAAAACTTGTAGCCCTCCCGGGGTCATGTAGACACCCGTCATCATCACTATAGAGATGAACTCTAAATTGATGGCCTGAATATGTTGGTGATTTCTAGGTCCACAGTCATGTACCTATGGGGATTGTCTGTTGAAAGACATATGAGTGGTCTTGGGAGCAATTTTCTTGATAGATAGCACAATTGAGGTAGCAAACTTATCACTAATTAGTTCTCTCTTGCTCACATGAGCCTTCTATTTTCTCACTCTCATGGTGTTCACTCACTCACTCACCATCAGCTTTGTCCCTTGGGTAGGCTTAGTAGGGTTTACTAAGCCATTGAGACTCAATCTCTCATTGATATGTTTCTTTCCTTTCTTTTCTCTCTGCGCTCCCCCTCAACTGGAGCACTCGGTATGCTTTGTCATTGTTCGGCACCAGGAGGAGAAAATAGAAAACTCACACTCAAAAGTTGCATCCTTGAGAGAATCCTTTCTTTGTACACTGTGTGGCGTCAGGAGGAGAAAAATGAAACTCTCCTCAGAAGTTTCAAGTATTGTTTTTGTCACCCGGGGAGTAAAGTAGAAAACTCTCCCTTGTAATGTGCATTCTTCGTTGTTTGGCACTAGAAGGGGTGAAAAAAAACACCCCCCCTCAGAAAATGCACTTGTTGTTTGTACGTGGCGTGTGTTGGTGTTGGGGTGTGCGTTTTTTGAGTTTCAGCTCAGTGGGGAGTATACACGCCAATATTCCTCTTGATAATGTGCACGGTTGATTGCTCACATCTTGTCTTCATTCACACCCGCCATGTGCGTGGAGCAATCAGATCATGTACCACACATGACGAACCTACAAAAGGCTAAAAAACCTTTGGTACCCTTTATAGGGTGGGTCCATCCCTTTTAGCACAAAACAAACCTTGATTTTTTTTTCCTAAACAAATATTTTTTTAAGCTTTGGGAGAGATATATGAATGTGATTCTGAATTAGGAACCCATCGAAGATTATTTGCAGGTTTTGGAGAATTTTCAGCGCAGGTGAATGTTGGAACAAGTTTTTGAGAAGTAAAGATTTTCTCCCTTGACAACCATTTGAGATGTTTTGCTAAATAAACCTTGAGAGGATAAGTCATGTCAACACCATCACAAACAATATAGGTTGAAGTTTTAAAACTCTTTTGTTTAGACTTGCCATCATTCACATCACAATGAGGTTTAGAAGCCTTACCTTTTTTTTTAAGTTTCTGAGGCTTGCTAACTTCAGCACTTGAATTTGAAAACACAGATCCAGAATCATTAGAAGAAGACAAAGAAGAAAGGTGTCTGAAAGAGCTAAATTGTTGATAGCCTGAGCTTTCATTAAAATTACTCTTTGAAATAGGAGAGGAGGTGTAACACCGTCCCCAACTATATTTACTTTATGTAAATCATATATTGAACCTTATTAAATGGTTAATGAATTTACGAGGTTGAAAATCTTGTTGTTACTTTTGCGTGAATAGTAAATTGCACGTGGGGCCCACATCGGGAGCGGGGACCACCCGATATTTCTGTAACCACATATTATATTCCTCTTGGGCTAAATAATATGTATATGGTGGTGGATATCTTAGTTGGGCCATAGAAAGGGCGGTTGATCGGTTGGTCAAACAAGACACAATTACCGGTATTAGTAATTTATCGGGGAACAGTCCGAAATAGGTTTCGGAGACTCCTAAATTAAAGTTGAAGAATGCATATTCATTCTAAGGGCCCATATGTGTTGAGAACGAGTGATATATTTTATTTGGCCCGCTAAAATAAAAACATAATTAAAACAGTCCGAGAAATACAACTTTCAGGGTCAATTATACAGTTCAGGACATAAATGGATGACCTCCCAAATGAGTGGGGGCCATCCCAAGTTTTGGTGTGCTCAAATTCAGATTGATACAACCA